AGGTAAGGAGAACATTAAACATGTAAATTAAGAGCAATCAATTTGTAATTGTTAAGGTTTGGGACTTGCACTGGGGAAATCCAGGTTTACGCAAGCTGAACCAAGGGAAACCATCCCCTCTCTCTCTTTCTCTCTCTCTCTGTCTCTCTCTCTCAGCCCAAACTATGTCACAATTTTGTTGTTACTGTGAGGAAAAATCGGAGAAAGGAGTGCTTTGTACACTACCTTGAGGTCAATATAAAAAGGGGGAATGTATATCAAATAAACAATGAAATTTAATCACATTTAATATAATGTTAAAGAATTCACATTAAATTTGTTGGGTGCTCCATCACTGGAGCCTTTTAAGAAGAGATTGGACAGCCATTTGTCTGAAATGGTATAAGGCAGTGGTGGCGAACCTATGGCACGGGTGCCAGAGGTGGCACGTGGAGCCCTCTCTGTGGGCACCCGTGCCGTTGCCCTAGCCTCGCCTCCCCCCACGACCCCCTCCTCTCCAGCAGTCCCCCTGAAGGAGAGTCGCCCCTGAGTGTGGCCCACGCGGAGCAGCACAGCCAAGGACATGGCAGCCAGGCAGCATAGACAAGATTCTGCCCTCACACCCCATCGTGCACAGTTGATGCTGCAGGGCGCAGGCAGAGGGCGTGACCACCATAGCGTTGCTGGGCTGCCTGGGCGATCTGCGGTGGGCCCTGGAGGCGGTGAGTGGCCCTGCGGGCAGGTGGGGTGGGGGATGGGGGGCAGAGCAGGGGCGGGGCAGGGGGTGGAGTGGAGACGGGGCCAGTTTTTGGGCACTCGGTCTCTAAAAGGTTCGCCATCACTGGTATAAGGTTTCGTGCTTGAACAGGGGGTTGGATTAGAAGACCTCCAAGGTCTCTTCCAACTCTGTTATTCTGTTAAATATAGTTTTCTCTTTGGCAGATATTTGAGGAAGCTGTTGCTCCACTAAATAGCCTTCCTACCCAATTCTGGCCCACATGCAGCATAGCACCATGCAACCTCCACTGTATAGGGAGGCCGAGGAGCAGATCGGCCGGGTCTCCTTCCTGAACACAGCCTCCTTTCCATGCCTTCAGGAAAACAAGGGGAGGGAAGTAGAGCACAGGGTGATTTAGGGGGTGGGGGAGACCCCAGGAGGCTCAGGGCAGGCCACGTGTAAGCTGGGGAGATGCTGCAGTGCAGGCCTGGGCTAAGTGCAGGCCAGGACCTCCCCCATCCTGAGATACCCCATGCTCTGATTTAACTACTGCAACAGAGAAAGCAGGGATTGGGGTTGTTAATTGAGGCAATCACTTGGTCACCTCACTTAAGTACTGTCATGACTTGTGGCAATAATGGGCAGGCTCCATTACATTCGTAAGTTGAGGTCTACTGTAGTAAAGCAAACATTGAGAGAACATATGGTAAGAGACCATATAAAGAGAAAGCAAAATTTACCATTTTAAAGGTCATGCATAAGCTGTTCTTTCCAATTGCCAGTCTAACAGAATTCTATCACTGAAGTTAGCCTTCCAAAAACCTCTTGGTCCAATACCAGGCTAATTGCCACTATTAGCTGAATGACACCAGCAGGTAAAGTTTGAATCTTGCTACTATTGAAATAATAACTTGGCTCTATTATTTGTTCTAAGTTCATAAGCAAACATTTGTTTTTGTAAGTAAAAAAAGAAAAGACAAATCTCTAAATTATGGATCTAGGTGCAGTTGCTAAGAGTGTGAGGGACTGCCAGATGGACCAATCATTCTGTCCTGGCCTAGATAAAGGAAGACTAGTCCCTTGAGGTGAAATTCACTAAGCAATTATTCACATATTTGGGCGAGGCGGTGAAAGTATTTCTCCTTTTTAGTTCCTATATTTCTGACACAAGACAAATAAACCTATTTATTATATACAATGGAGATAACATAAATAATAAATTAGAAAAAGTTGAACAGGTTGAAGAAAATAGAAGACAGAAGATAAAGTGAATGGACAGTATTGATCACGTGGACAGATTTCTATCAATATAAGACAAAAACAATTATGCATAGCTAACAAAGAGCCATTCATTCTTCTTCTAACCAGCACTTTATCGAAACATATTCAAAAGTAAATCATTTATAAAGCCCCCGAGTGTATACACCCTTACTGATAGTCCTTCTTTAGCTACTGCCTTGTTTAGCAACCATTTGCAGTTATGACAGTGATGAAAAGTAACTTTACAGACCTTAGCAGGTCTGTAAAACAAAGGAAAGCTGCTGTACAATCATAAGCACAGTGACAGTTTCACTTAGCAACTGCTTCATTTAGCAACCAAGTTGCCCATCACAATTATGCTCAGTAAATGAGGATTAGCTGTACCTTGGAAATTATGGGAAACTACTATAAGCTATTCCAACAGCTTTTTCCATCTCAGCCTCACAGAAATTCAAGTAAGCAAATAAGAGGGGAATAGAAATAGCAAACGTTTTCATTACAGACAATGGCTGCACCTGGATCTAATCAATCTAATAACATCCAGCTGCAAGAACAAGTACTACACAGATAATTTAACACAAGGCACTTCCATCTGAAACAATTTACACCATATATTCAAGAAAAGGTTTTGTAGCAGAATCTCCATTAATGCAAAAGCAAATCTAGTATATTTTATCATGCACTAAAACTTCCAGTAGAACTTTGGAATACTAGTGACTAAGTAAAAATTCAAAGGGCTCCATCTTTAAAAATGTGAGATAAAAGATAAGGTAACAGAATAATTGGTCCAAGGCCTAGCTCAGTGGTTCTCAACCTGTGGGTCGGGACCCCATTTGGGGTCGATCGACCATTTCACGGGGGTCGCCAAGCAATGCTGTCTGCCATTTTTTTGTCCGCCATTTTTTTTGTCCGCCATTTTTTCCCCCTTTTCCGGCGGGTGCCTTACCTCCCTTGGGCTGGGCCAGCTGGTGGTCGGCCTGCTCCGTCTCTGCCGCTTGCCAGCTACGCCTCGGCTGGCGCAGGGGGCAGAACCACGCATGCGTGGCGCTCCCGGGCAGGGAAAGTCCTCGACTTACGACCGGTTGGGTAGTCCTCAACGTACGACCGGTTTAGTCCTCAACTTACGACCGGTTTAGTCCTTGACTTACGACCGGTTTAGTCCTCGACTTACGACCGGTTGGGGTCGCGGCATTAAAAAGGTTGAGAACCACTGGCCTAGCTATTATATCAAACTGCACTGGGGACAATATATAACAAAAGCAGGGGAGGGAGAAAATACAGATACAAATGGACACAGTGAACTCAAAGTTGCCTTAAAGATATGTCTTTCCTTAACTGAAATCAAATTACAGCTGAATTTTACACAGCTTGAGCCTCTCTTTGCCTTTTTGCAATCCCTAAGACTACTACTCATAAATTATCAAATTTAAGTTGCCTTGAATTTTATCTGAAAGAAAAAAAATCAAAATATTACATGGGTATCCAGGAGGTATAGCAGACCAATGTAAAAGGAGATGGGAGAATGGGAAAATGCAAGAAAAAAATGTACCCTTTGAAAGGCTTTTTTAAAATGACAGCTCACTATAATATGACAACTTCCAGGGAGAATAGCTTTTCACATCCTAGAGCTGAGTATTAAATTGCGGGAGTTAAATAACTCTATCTCAAGAACTCTAAGACTATCAGCAACTGACCTTTCATCTGGCACTTTAAATCAGGAGCAGATTAAAAATGAATCCCTGGAGTTTTATATACCGTATTTTCCGGCGTATAAGACGACTGGGCGTATAAGACGACCCCCAACTTTTCCAGTTAAAATATAGAGTTTGAGCGAGAGAGAGGGGGGGAGAGAAAACTTGATGAGTAATATGCCAAACCACATGTGTAAAGGAATAAAATAGAATACCCGTATTTTCCGGCGTATAAGACGACCCCCGACTTTTGAGAAGATTTTCAGGGTTTAGAAAGTTGTCTTATACGCCGGAAAATATGGTATAAAGTTGAAGTTTGAAGTTGACACTTTGACACCAAAGAAAGTCAGAAGTCAATGCCTTTTTTTCTTTTTTTTCTCACTTACCTCACTTTAAATGTTCTGCATATTTTTAAATGGCTGATGAAAGCTTTAAAGTGCTATACCATGGTTCCTAATAAATTGCTCGTTCTGGCAAATGAGATCTAAAATTTCAAACTGCAGCTTTCAGACACTGAAACTGATATATCACACACACACAAACACACACACACACACACATATATAAAATCAGATCAGAAAAATATATTATTTCTGTAAATTCATTTGGTGCAGCAATTCTACTGCCACCTAGTGCGATCTAGACACAATCAACATTTATAACAGGAAATGATGGGTATGTCTGTTCTAACAAAGAGAAGGACTAGGGGTGACCTGATAGCAGTCTTTCAATATTTGAGGGGCTTTAACAAAGAAGAGGGGGTTGATCTATTATCCAAAGCACCTGAGAGCAAGACAAGAAGCAATGGATGGAAACTAATCAAGGAGAAAAGCATCCTAGAACTAAGGAGAAATTTCCTGACAATTAGAACAATTAATCAATGGAGTGGTTTGCTTTCAGAGGTTGTGGGTGCTCCAAGATTGGAAATTTTTAAGAAGAGACTGGACAGCCATTTGTCTGAAATGGTATAGGGTTTCCTGCCTGAGCAGGGGGTTGGACTAGAAGATTCCAAAGTCCCTTCTAATTCTGTTATTCTGACATAGTGCTCATTCCACAATTTGTTTGAAATTGTGGCAATTATGTTAATTATAATTGTTATAATTAATGAATTAATTACATTCTCTTGAGTGCCTATTTTCTTCTTTCCTGGGCTTCAAAATAAATATTCAGATCCATTTTGCAAAGGAAAAGGCCCAAAAGCAGTATTATCTTTCAAAAGATAGTAGTAGAGGCAAATGGTTCTTTCTGAATGCCTATGAAAATCCCAGTGTATTCACATTTGAAAAACATAGCCATCGTTCATCAGAAAGTGTTAATAAATTGAAGGTTGCAACAATGTCAGGGCAGCTTACCTGAAAGTGCAAAATTATGGTCCATATTAATCCCAACGTCAATTTAGGATTCCCATCTGTTATGTCATCATTTCGAATGTTCACCAGTTTCACCTGTCATGGGTGGAGGGAGAGAAATGTGCAAAGGAATTAAAACAAATGGAGTTGACAACATGCATTCTTTCTCTTGTATGTGACTGCAGTGAAAGAAATACCAATTGGCTGATTCGTGCACTGTTAATTCTAGTTTATCCTGTTCCCTTTTCTCCATAAAGCAGAGGCTGCCTCAAGAAAAGGCAGAATACTTTTAACAAAACAAATGATGCTTCTATTTTTGCACAGGGACAGCTTCAGTTGCACAAGAAAGCTGGCCAGTTAAAACAAAGAAACCAATTATATTAAATTTTTTGATTGATTTTATTACTATTACTAAAGATATCAGTATGTTTAGCTTTTAAGGCAGTGGTTCTCAACCTTTTTAATGCCGCGACCCCAACCGGTCGTAAGTCGAGGACTAAACCGGTCATAAGTCGAGGACTAAACCGGTCGTAAGTCGAGGACTAAACCGGTCGTAAGTCGAGAACTACCCAACCAGTCGTAAGTTGAGGACTTTCCCTGCCCAGGAGCACCACGCATGCGTGGTTCCGCCCCCTGCGCCAGCCGAGGCGTAGCTGGCAAGCGGCAGAGACGGAGCAGGCCGACCACCAACTGGTCCAGCCCAAGGGAGGTAAGGCACCCGCCAGAAAAGGGGAAAAAAATGGCGGACAAAAAAAATGGCGGACAGCCCGTGAAATGGTCGATCGACCCCAAATGGGGTCCCGACCCACAGGTTGAGAACCACTGTTTTAAGGGCTAAGATTAGCAAACTCCTAGGCTGCAGCCAATTTTCAATGCCATCAAGAGACTGAACAATATCTGTTAATTTGAAAGAGCAGGAGGAAAAAGACAAACTCTACGACTATGGAGCCACAAAACAGCTCTGATCTCATTCACTGCAACGGGCAAATCAATTGTTGTGTTTAAAGCTTCATTCTTGTCTGCCAATGGAGACAATTCTTGTCTGCCAATGGAGAATTATGATTTCCCAATGGATTGTAGCCTAACATATCTTCATCTATTCAAGATAATCCATGCTGGCTAATGAATAATATTAAATATGGTCCTCAAGATACAACATTAAGTTTTGGCAGTATTCATCAATCCCTTCTGTCCTAATTTATAACATTTTCCTAATATTTTGAATTTGCTAGTCTTTGGATGTAATTCAGATTAATTGGTTGATTTGATTAGAAAGGCTTTGAGAGTTTTATTATCATTATACCATACTTATCTCCACTATTATTTGCTTTTCAACCAGGATAGAAATTATATCCTTGAACTTAAAACACATGATGCGCATATTAAGAGCTGTGCAAAGCACTTGGGGGAAAAGTCCAAAATGAAGTATATGTGTGTGCACATTCCGAAGCAGCTATCAGAGTATTTAAAGGAGGTGACTGAACAGTGCTGTTATTATTATTGTTTTTAATAATTGTACTGTTTAAAAGAGAGTTAAAGGAGGTTATAGACATGTTATTTTAATAGTTGATTAATGTTAATTAGAGTATGATTATGTTATTGTTAACCCTGTGATTGGCACTGGGAAGTGAGGGGGGAGGGAGGGGGGTGGAAGGGTGGGAAGGGGAAGGGGGGATTTATATTGTAAAATTTTATAAAATTTTTAATAAAAAAAAAAGATTCGAAGGAAGATGCATCATTCATTCTCTCAACACTTTCCAAAGGATTCTTTTAAATGCTTTACACTCTTATTATGCTGGTAAGATATAACTCAACACAGCTCCCAGCTCATGGGAAGACTTCCCCCAATATTTCAAAAGTAACTTTATATTGTTTGAATATATGTTGATTTGGGTTTTTTTTCTATTTCAATTTTTCTACTTTTTGCTACAAATGTAACCTTCACACCAAATATTCCTAGGAATCTAGAGTTCTTGCTAAACATAGAATCTAAATCTTAACAAGGGAAAGCAGACCTGTATTATCTTTTCCCCTGCCTGGAGCGTTTTTCTTGCATTTTCAAAAGGATTGCCTATTTAGTTCAACATTCCTCAAACTTTCAGTTCATTTGACTTCTTTGTGAAGTTTCAGATTGTTCATTGATCCCCAAACATTACATGAAAATAATTTAATGAATACTACTTCAACTAATAGTACTGCAAATAATAATCACCACGTGAACACCATCAGCACTGACAAAATCACCATCAATCAATTGCAAAAGGCAATTTTATTTGGAGCAGTTTACATCCTGTAATGACCTTTCTTGCCACACTTGCTAAGTAAATCACTGCAATTGTTAAGTTAGTAACACAGTTGTTAAATGAGCCTGGCTTTGACTTTGCTTCTCAGGCTACAAAAGGTAATCACATGATGCCGGACACTGCAATAGTCAAAAATATGAGTCAGTTGCCAAGTGTCTGAATTTTGATCACGTGACCATGGGATGCTGCAATAGTCATACAACAAAAAAAATTTGTCTTATAACTTCGCAGGGTCACTAAATGAACTGTTATAAATCAAGGACTAACTATAGTTCCATTAACCTTGGGAGTTGATGTTGGGGACCCCTGATTTACTTGTTGCTGCTGTTCAAGGCAACTTTGTAACTCTTTTTCTACAAAGACGAATATATTTTAATGTCTAATGGTAATATCAGTTTTTATATTTCAATTTTTACATTTTTATATAAAGTTTTGTTTATCTCGTATAAAATTAGTCAATCTCACAAGAGACAAAGGAAGAAATAACCTTTTATTGAATGGAAAAAAAATGGAGAAACTGAAAAACATGACAGTGTACAAGAGAAATTACAAGTGAAAGAAGCCTTTTCCTGACTTCATAAAATTCTAATTCACAGTAGTAATAATAATAATAATGATGATGATGATGATGATGATGATGATGATGATGGAAGAGACCTTGGAGGTCATCTAGTCCAACCCCCTGCTCAGGCAGGAAACCCTATACCATTTCAGACAAATGGCTGTCCAGTCTCTTCTTAAAAACTTCCAGTGTTGGAGCATTCACAGCTTCTAGAGACAGGTTGTTCCACTGGTTAATTGTTCTCACTGTCAGGAAGTTTCTCCTTAGTTCTAGGTTGCTTCTCTCCTTGATCAGTTTCCACCCGTTGCTTCTCGTCCTGCCTTCAGGCACCTTGGAAAATAGCTTGACTCCCTCTTCTTTGTGGCAGCCCCTAAGATATTGGAACACTGCTATCATATCCCCCCTCGTCCTTCTCTTCCTTAAACTAGACATACCCAATTCCAGCAACCGTTCCTTATATGTTTTAGCCTCCAGGCCCCTAATCATCTTTGTTGCTCTTCTCTGTACTCTTTCTAGAGTCTCAACATCTTTTTTACATTGTGGTGACCAAAACTGGATGCAGTATTCCAAGTGTGGCCTTACTAAGGCATTGTAAAGTAATATTAATACTTCACATGATCTTGATTCTATCCTTCTGTTAATGCAGCCTAGCACTGTGTTGGCCTTTATGGCAGCTGCAGCACACGGCTGGCTCATATTTAAGTGATTGTCCACTAGGACTCCGAGGTCTCTCTCAAGTTACTACTATTGAGCAAGGTACCCCCTATACTATACCTGTATATTTGGTTTTTCTTGCCTAAATGTAGAACCTTACGTTTTTCACCATTGAATTTCATTTTGTTAAATAGTGCCCAGTGTTCAAGTCTGTCCAGATTCTCCTGTATCTTAAGCCTGTTTTCTGGAGTGTTGGCTATTCCTGCCAGCTTTGTGTTGTCTGCAAATGTGATGATTTCCCCATCTATCCCCTCGTCCAAATCGTTGATGAAGATGTTGAAGAGCACTGGGCCCAGAACAGAGCCCTGGGGCACCCCACTACACACTTCCCTCCATGTAGATGCAGTTCCATTGAGGACCACACGCTGAGTACAGCCGGTCAGCCAGCTACGAATGGTAGACCACCACTACGACAGATTGGGTGTAAAAAGATAGAATAGTTCATCATCCAACACTAGATGAAATAGTTTACGGAATGACTTCAGGTTCATTTAATATAGGTGTCGTAAGGAGACTAGGTGATTAAAACAGTGAACCAGTTTCTTACGTTATTCTAAACAGACCGTACTAGACAAATTGACAAACCCATGTTGGTTTTTAGTAATGACTTTGTTTGCCTCTAGGTGTTCACTTTTCCAGAATCTTCCCAGGTATTGAGGTCAGGCTGATAGGTCTGTAATTTCCTGGGTCCATTTTTTTTCCTTTTTTGAAGATGGGAACTACATCAGCTCTTTTCCAGTCCTCTGGTAGTTCCCCAGTGCTCCAGGATCTTTGAGAAATATAGTTCAATGGTTCTGAGATCACATCTGCCAGTTCCTTGAGAACCCTGGAGTGTAATCCATCTGGTCCTGGTGATTTGAACTCGTCTAGGCTGGACAGGTGCTCACTTACCGTTTTCTTGCCTATCTTAACTTGCATTTCTATTCTGCTTTTTATGGCACTATTTTTGGTAGGTTAGTCTGTTTTTTCCCTTTGTGTAAAGACAGATGCAAAAAACGAGTTAAATAGTTCTGCTTTCTCCCTGTTGCTTGTCACCTTCTTGCCACTTTCACCCACTAATGGACCAATCATTTCTTTCACTTTTTCTTGATTTTTACATGTTGAAAGAAGCTTTTTTTTGTTATTTTTGACTTTGGTCGCAAGCCTTAGTTCATTTTGAGCCTTGGCTTTCCTCACTTCATCTTTGCAGGCTCGGGCTATTTGCTGATATTCTGACTTAGTTATGTGCCCCTCTTTCCACTTTCTATACTTGTCCTTTTTATCTTTCAATTTAGCAGAGAGTTCTTTATGCAGCCATGCTGGTTTCTTTTGAGAGCTGTTTCCTCTTTGTTGGTATTGTGCTAAACAGTGATGATAACCTTATCTGGAACTGTATGAATTTCAAAGAATTTTGAAATAATTCCTATTTCTTCCCTCTGATCTGCTCCCTAAGGTAAACGTTTGTGGCAATCAAATATGGTCTGTTTATTGTTTGCTTCTTTGTTAAAACAGAGTGAACAATATTTAGTAGTTCAGTT